TCTGTCTGTCTGTCTGTCTGTCTGTCTGTCTGTCTATCTATCTATCTATCTGTCTGTCTGTCTGTCTGTCAGGACTGCTCTGGTACACCAACATGTCCTCCGTTTCATCGTTTCGGAAGTGAAAATGTCCTGTATCTGTTACCCCAAAGCCAAGGCGATTCAAAGTCGTGTTCGTAAACAAAATAATTGTTCTAGTTTTGGTAATAAAAGCACGTCGACTCGCATACCGACAAGCATGATTGGTGTCGATTTACACGGTCAGTATAAAACACGCACTGGGGACTGCGGACTGCTGACTACGGACTACGGACTACGGACTACGGACTACGGACTACGGACTACGGACTACGGACTACGGACTACGTACGGACTACGGACTACGGACTACGGACTACGGACTACGGACTACGGACTACGGACTACGGACTACGGACTGGGTACAAAACATGAACTTAGGTATACAACGCGGACTAAACATTACGGACTGGGCATAAAACGCGGACTCAGGTATAAAATGCGGACTGCGGACTAGATGCGGCCTACCGACTGCAGTCCATGTATTTCACTGACCCGGTCGTAACTAATATTACATAATACATGTATAAACGAGAACAAACCCTCTCGTATGCACGTTCATTGCGATCATTTCATTTATTTTCACCCCTGCTGATGGGAGACCAATTTTACGCCTATCTAACAGCTCAGGCACAAAATGCTGTCCCTAGAATATTTGTTTTTCTTAACCTACCAAACCTACGAAAACTCGAACGCACTCTTTTATCTACGATTACTACTAGTCCTAAGTAAAATTATTGTTTCTTTATTGATTTTTAGGGCTGCTCAGTTTAACCAAACCAAACTCATTTCACTTCTCGTTGAAAAGGGAGCCAAAGTGAACATACATGATGGCGAGGGAAGGTCGCCATTCCTGAATGCCGTAGCTGCAGGGCACATTGACTCGGCCAAAGTTCTTGCAGATGTCAATGCAACCGATTTGCTCATGAAAACATGTCTGCATATCGCAGTGGAAAATGAGCAGTTCAAGATGCTTGAAGAGCTTCTAGAGAGTCCCTTGGGAACAAAAAATTTATACAAAGCGGATTTGTGGGACAGGGTTCCATTGCATTACGCTGCCAAGTCAAAAGATATAAAGGTAAAACGTTGATTTGAAGCAGAAAGATGCCTGAATCGGAAACACTAGTGTCAGTTTAGTAGGAAACTTTGCTTAGCGGCTTACACCATATACATTTTTATCGGAAAGATTAAATAAAGCTCTTTAAAAGAACTTCTGCTTGTCTTCCTTCTTTCAGAACCTTTCAATTTCACATACATGTATGTCTACAATTTCATTTGACAGAAAAGAGAGAGAAAGTTAAATTAACATAAATAACTTTAGATACTTAAAATGCTGATGAATTACCTTGGTGCGATTGATGTTTTCCGTTTGGTAGATATTGGAGCTGGTCTTATCCAAACAGAAGCGCCTGTCATATCGAGATGAGAATCAAAAAACACCTCTTCATCTAGCAGCAGCATCTTCCTCATCCAAACACGTGGAAGTATTGGCAAGGTGGATGCCTGGTGTTAACGAACGAGACGAACATGGACGAACACCTTTGCACAGTGCCGCCAGGAAAGGCCAAAGGTAAAACTTATGTTCTACTTGGTTAAGTTATCTTTTTCCTGATTCGTTTTCTGGCACATTCAGTGCCAACGAAACTGAGGCGGATTTGTTCAGGCGGTGACCTACTTATTGAAATCGGGATGCAAACGCGTTCAAATTGTAGGAAAAACAAAAAAGCTCACAATTCTCATGTGTAATGAATTGCTATATTTCCAATACATACTTTAGGACTTGGCATAGTCTTTGACCTCGATCGAAAGCCCACTCGAAATAGTAATATCACAAACTTGTAAAAGAAACAGTTATATCGGTCCCTTTGTATTTGTCTCCAGAAAGTATAATATTGGCAAAATGTTTGAAATGCAGCATCTTAACTTTGAAAACCCATACCTGGTTTCAGAAGCTTAGTGTCTAATTAAGCCGCCAAGTTGAATTCTCCTAACCATCCCCTTTCAACTGCAAAGAATTCCTTTGTGTTTGATAATAACTAGACTACGAGTAGTTCCTCTGTCGCGTAGTCCGTCAAGCGAGACCGTAAATAAACCGCGAGGAAAAAAAATGGCCGCGTGAAATCCTGGGGGCGAGACCACTTTTTTCTCGCGGTTTTTTCTCGCGTCTCGCGCGACGGACTAACTGAAAGAGGGACTACTCGTAGTCTAGATATAATAATCATATTCAAGATCTCTGGCTCTGTTTTCTCGTAATTAGTCCATGGGCCAGGACCCCCAAAAAATAACATTTCGGTACCACTCATGGAGAGTGATTCAACCATACATTTTTGAAAACTGCAATTACAATAGTTTCATTGCTGCGGAGCGAGCGTAATCAAGATTTAAGAAGAATATATGGAAGGGGGTACGAATTTTCGAATTCATCACTTTAAACCAGAATGCATTGTATTTTACCAGAGTGTACTACACCACTTTTTGCCAGAGAGCGTTGCGCCACGAACAACTCGAGGACGTCGAGCCGTCGTCCTTTTCGCGTGAATTCCAGTGAGAAAGATTACTTATGTTTTGCTCTGATTTACCTGTAAAACGATGTAAAGGAGATTGTACCTGACTTTCACAACTCTTGCTTATGTTCTTAATGCAGTATATGAAAGTTTGTAAATCTGGACGATTAATTTTTAAACTTAGCATATGTCATTTCTTAGCAGTCTCGCCTTCTTGTCCGAATTCTTAAATGAAGAGAAATCGTCGCTACTAAAGCTTGCAGAATAATTGAAACAAACGAAAATCGTATATAGAACACGCTAATTTCATATATGCTACAATCTATTTCTTTGCATCCAAAAATGAATTTAAGCTAAAGCTTTAGCATTTTCACACATCGCGATGGACGCGTCCTCGACACAGTCTATCAACATTCTAGAGACATTTAATGCGTATCAGTACAGAATTTATAAGTTAGATTTCTGCCCCTACATTTACACATCTTTCGATTTTCGCGATCTGGTAAAGGGGAGGTTGGTGTGTATCGTTTTATGTCCAAAATAGTTCAGATCACTATTTGCTTTTTTGTCCCGATCCCTTGACACCTCGCCATCGATGCGTCATCGTGCATGAAGACGTAGATAAATCAGTGCGCAAAATATGTCACTATCAACAGAATGTGCCGCAGCATTATTATCTTTTAGATACAGTGGAACCTCGATTTAACGAAGTCGCTGGGGACCGGCCAAATTTGTTCGTTAAATCGAGGGTTCGTTATATCGAAAACCTCGATATAACGAATTTGAGGGGAAACGACCAAAATGTTCGTTATATCGAGGTCATAGTTAATAATTGATTTGTAATACAGGTGACTTCTGTCACGCAATTCAATGCAATTTTCGTCCCCCAGAGGTGCCGCGTTGTGAGATGCAATTCATTAAGCATGGTGGCTTTCAGTATCAATTATTTTCACTTTTGAGCAGACGCGCAGCTTTTGTTTACCAAAGAACGACACTTTCAGAGTAGCGATTTAACAATGTTACAACATAGAGGTTATACGGAAAATTGTCTATGCAAACAAGGAAACAGGCTTTGGTGTTGTTATGTTGCACTACCCAACATTTCCGGAATTCAAAGAAGATAGAGCAGAAGTTAATTGATGTCGAAATACTATAGTGCCAATGTCTCTGACATATAATAAGCCGTTGACTGAAAGGTTGCTGTCTCTTTACCACAAGGAGTACAAGGATTTGTTGACTGTTGATCTGTTCAGCGTTTATCTTTTGTCGTGTGTTGACACTGTAATTCGTTATATCGAGGTAGATTTTACGTTTGGACTTCCGGATTATGTTCGTTATATCGAAGAATTCGTTATATCGAGGTTCGTTATACCGAGGTTCTATTCCATATATTTTACTGTAACTTTGGCCGGGACCTAGAATTTCGTTCGTTATATCGAAGACTTCGTTAAATAGAGGTTCGTTAAATCGAGGTTCCACTGTACTCTAGTATTATGTATGATAGCAATGCTAAATGAGTAGCTTAACAGGATTTATCACGTGACAAAGTAACGTCACTCATTTCCACAGAATCATCAGGATACAAGCAATGACTGCTTAAAAGTAGTATTTCTCTGCTTAATAACCATACGTAAAGGGTAGTTTATATGTGAAAAGGATTGAAATTTCTGCCAGATGAGTTTTTAAACCACTTAGTTAAAACTTACATGATCTTTAATGATCTTGTTTCTATGGTAACGCTGAAAATTATTTGAATTTCAAAAAAATAAACTTCTAGGTATTTCTTTTTTTAATGCGCTGATCTCACAGAATTTTCACTAAACGGAAGCAGGAGAAAATAAGTGATTCACAAGCAATGATTTGGTGAGATGCAATTGCTACCAAGACAGTGGTTCTCAATTAATACCCGTCGGTCATCTTGGATACGCCATCTTGGTTCTGTCATTTTGGCTGTTAAAACACCATTATTCTAAAGCAAAATGTTGCGAAATTGTTTAGACATTTGAGTGCATTTTCCCTTTTGATTCAAAGCACTTATTATGTAATTAGAAAAAAAAAACTCTTGAAAAGCTCCCTTATGTTGAAGAAGCCCAAAGAATTAAAAGAAATAGAGACATTTTGCCTTTATAAAAAGAGAGCATAATTCACGAGGGAGAGTAATGGCTTCACAATTTTCTCGACACTGTCTTCTAGCTTAACGGATTCTTTCTATTGATATCTAAAATGCCTTAATTTTCCTCATCCTCCTCGTCATCTGAGCATTCTCCATCAAGAATCTCTTTCAGTCCTAAGCACTATTGTTGCAGTCGCGAAGGCGGCACATACATTGTATCGGTGCATTTAAGGCCATTTGTAAGCAAGGTACAGGTGGATAGCTTGCCTGATCTTACACAATAACATTAGAGAAGCTCACGAAGAATTGAAAAGGCGGGTTCGCCATTCAACCATTTGATGGATAAGTTGCAGTCCTTCTCGACCCATCCATGATCAACTGGTGAAGGGACTTGAGGGCAGCTGTGTAAACTTCTTTTCCAAATAGTTGCTTGCAAATGGGAGCTTGCTCTCGAGGAGTACATCCTTAAACAACAGAAACAAAGTTCTTCAATGAACTTTGCCTTTTTTGGCACAGAATATCCTACAACAAAGTCCAATAGCGTTACAGACTCCTTAACCATGCGATAATCAAAAAGCCTAAGAACATATACATAAGTATCTTCTGACGTCATAACTAAAGCTCTGTACCTTTCGGCTGCATGTGCTGCATGGAGAAACACTCTGGTACCTGCCTCCTCTTGTGTCGACCTTAGCTCTTAATCCCTTGCTGTTACTCCGATTAGGAGAATTCATAGCAGTAATCCTCGGTCGTTACATAGATTGTCTTTCCTCTCATTTTGCCACTCTTCTGAACTAAATTTGATCAAGAGCGATTTACTCTTGGAATTGGACAAGAATTTCCGCCATTGATGTATCTTGTGATCTGCCTTGATGTTTCTGAATTTATGAGCTTTCCGAGCCTCTCTTCTCTCTCTCTCGGGGTTCTTGTTCGAATTATCTCTGTAAACGTCGAAGACCGCGTCAATACGCTGGCTGTCTCTTCTTTCATGCAAAATCATTGACATTACGATGTCAATTCAGCAAATGTTTCCTGGTCGCCTCTTATCTTCTGTACCATTATCATTCTGTCAATAATCCGCCCGCACGGCTGAGGAATTATATCTGCTGCTGTCATATTCTTCTGGCCAGCCCCTTGGCAAGTGATGATTTGTTGGTTCTCAGCAATCCATCAACCGAGGCAAGGCCCCAATGACAAGGTCCGAGAGGGTGGCTCAGTGCATCATTCATCTTCAGCGTCCTGTTCTCAGCAATAGTGATCATTTGAGCAAACAGTGCACACAATCCGCTTGAATGATTACTTCCTTGCTTGTCCCTATTTGTCCCTTCATCTTCTTTGAGACGTCACCAAATGTTTAAACTTTGAGGTTCGTAATTTTGTAGTAGAATTTCACCTTAGGTGGGTCAGACTCAAGGTTGTTCTGACGAAACGTCTTATAAGCCGTCTCTCCGAAAGCCTTTACCTGAAGCATGCAGATCATTCTCTATCTCGGGAGTTGCGAAGTCGCCATTAGATAGACAAACTAGGTCTTGATTTTCTCCCTTAAAGGGATCGATCCAGCTTCTTTCGAGCATTGACATCATCAATTTCATGTCTTCTTCGTCTCGTGCTATTCGACTTGCTTGAGGCAGTGGGCTGGAAAGTCGCTGGGGTGCTCAGGTGAAGCCTTTCATTTGCATGGAGCCACAGGATCCTTAGCAAATCCTTCTTTCTTGCCTCCGCCAAGATTTCCTCAGCTGTTACCTCGACGAATGCTCTCGTGCAAGGACTGCAGTGATTACCAGCGTTGTATGTAGGTGCACTGTGAGCGAGATTAGTGGATGATGAATGCTTCTTTTCCTTGTCCTAGCTTGCCCGGTTCCAGGGTTCGGAAAGGGGTTCCGAGACCAAAATACCTGGTTTGGACAGCAATATCGTTTACTCGATGAGATGTTCCTACGCCATAAAGCGTCTCTTCTAGTCTATCAATATTATCCCCCGCAAGCGTTGCCTGAATATTTTCAGGCAAGGATATCAGGCGTCAAGGCCATTTTTTGTAGGCAATTGCAAAGTGCAGTGTTTATTTCCTCAATTTGCGAATACGTAATCCCATGCCCACATCGGCTTAACATCTGTATAAGTTCAACATTGCGGTTTGCAACGATTTTATTGCGTATGGTAATAGCATTTGCTTGGAGGGTGTTCCTCCAGTTATCCCGTATATAATGTCTTGCCCAAAAGAATTGCCGACAAGGCGCCGGAGGCGTTGAGGATATTCCGTTGGGATTTCTGAGTTGCTTGTTAGAAGAGTATATGAAATGCATCTAGTTCTGCTGAGATCTAGTTCTGCACTCTCACATAGTTCAGAAGATGTCGGTGGTCACGCCATTTAAGTATTATTTGAAAGAACTGCATTACAGATGCACAGTCCAACTTGCTATATTTCCTTGACTTTAGATGGAGTCAACCCTGTTGTCGAATTGCTGGGATAACGTTACTACCTCTCCGGCCAGTTGAGCATTTGAAAGATCTTTGGAAAGAACAGAAAGTTTATTATTGTTCGGGTGATCTTCAAATTGTAACAAGTCGCTGAAATCGTTTTCTAACTTTCTTCGGAAATGTCTTTTTCTTACGTTGACTCGGGTATTTCAGTAACGCCCATTGATTGCATGGAGATCATTGCGTCTCTCTCCGATCAACAATGTTAAAAAGCCTGGGATTTAATAAATCTGATCAAATAAACTCAAACAGTTTGTCATAAGCTTGCGACTCTATATCAAAATAATTGGTTTCATCCTTTCAGCATTTTCCATGTATAAGATTGAAAGTCATTATTTTGTTTTTCAAAATAAAACGTTGATATAGCGGTGATTCGCTATTGAATAGTAAGAAAAAAAATGTGGTCTTTCGGCTACTAACAACGTTACTTACAGAAATTATTGTTAAGCCCGTGCTTAATGGTTTAAAGGCTACGCCGCTGTCATGTATAATCTCAATAGCACAGACTATGGTAACACGCTTTACCTACTACCAAATCACGCCGAGAGGCCAGGACAGTAATGCTGCTATCACCAGCAGCAATAGCAGCTTTCCTAGGCATCTAAACATAAGTCAACCTACTGAGACAAAATATCGCGTTTTCTTGTACCTTTTTATATGCAGTATTATTTTAGCAAAAAGTGCATATTTTCGAGCAAGTTCTGCTCGTGCTTGGCTCTTGCCGGACGAGGTCTTTGCTTTCCGCTTTCCAAATTAGACTGGGAAATCTGTTTCGCAGCTGTTGTTTGAAAGATGCATTCTAACTAACCTCGCTTCATGGTAAAAAGACTGCGGAATTTCCTGTGATAAAGGACCTGGGGATTTCTCCTTCCTTGGTATTCTCTGCCACTGAATAAAGCAATGGCCTATGACCTTTAATTACAGCCGCCTTATAAGAGTCGAGATGTGTTCTTAAAACAGGGTTAATTAGCACACTTTCGTCATATGAGCAGTGAGTATAATAAAAGTTTTAAAAGGGTCGAAACGAGGTCGTTTAGTTTGGTCTGTTAGAATGAAACAACAATTGATACTGTACATAGCAGTCAAGTTTCGTTGCGAGCCTTAAAGCAGTCAATCAAAAACTCTTGAATGCTTGTAGCTATTTCATTCAGTGAGCATAAAAATACAAAGTGTTGCCTGTTTCTCTATATTACTTGATAAAACCATGCAGCGAGTTTGAGCTGCATGGTTTCATTTAAGTTTTTCTTTTTCAAATCAACTAATAAGTTTTAGTTTTTATCCAAAAATGTTAAGAAAAGCTGTTTACTGTACAATGTAGTGATTTATTAACATTACTAACTAGGGTATCTAAAAGATAATGCTGTGGCACATTCTGTTGATAGTGACATATTTTACGCAGTGATTCATCAACCTACGCGTTCCAAGACTTACGTACATTAACCTTTATTTCTTTAAGTAGTGTGTAACTTAAAATCTGTCCTTGTATGTATCGATGACGAGGTATGAAAAGGGATCCTGACAAAGAGCAAAACATAACCGTTAAAATCCACGCGAAAAAGGACGACGGCTCGGCGGTGTGGCATCCGTCGTGACATCCTCGTACTGTTCGTGGCGCAATGAGTGGCGCAGTGCACTCTGGTTAAATGCAATGCATTCTGGTAAAAAAGCGACAAATTCGAGAATTCGTACCCCCTTCTATATATTCTTCTCAAATCCTGATGATGTTGCTGCTCGCTCGCTACGCTCGTTCCGCAGCTATGAAGAACGCATTTAAAATAACTGAAAAATAAGAATACTAAAAGCTAATTTTTCAAGATTGCTATCAAAAAATTTGAAAAGTCCTTCATACAACCTTTCATCAGATATTGCTCACATTTTCTCACATTTTCTCACATATTGCTGACATTTTCTCCAGAGTAGTACCGAGAACCTGCCCTGGCCCATGGACTAAATATGACGTTCTTCTCGGGCAGTTTACCATATGACAATATGATAAGTCCTTATTCCCAAGTCAGGGAAGCTGCTCGTGAGGAATCTCACAACAAAGCTATGTTAAGCAATTAAATTATGAGTTTGAGATTTCTATCACGCATAGAAATCGAGAGCGAATAATCTAATTGTTTTGATATCAATACATACATGCGTACATACAAACTTTATTAACGCTCCCTGAGAGGGTTTTTCAGCTCAATACAATAGGCCCTATGCAGGATCCGGTCACATGGTACGGAATAAATCATGCTGGGACGCAAGTTACACAGTGGGACTTCCAAAACAAAGAAATTAGTACCAGTCCAGCCCCAATTTCCTTTGTTTTGAAAGTCCCACTGTGTATCGTGCGTCCCAGCATAATTAATTCCGTACTATATGACCGGATCCTGCAAAGGGCCTATTACAATTACAAAGTTAAATTTAAATTAATTAAGAATATAAGTACAATAATATTATAATTACAAAAAATATACCAAGAATATTACAAATATATATTATATATCTAAAATAAAAAAAAATTAACCTAATAAAACATTAGCAAAATGACGCCTAAAGTTCTTGGGGCATTTTAAGGACTTAATATTATTATTCAAAGAGTTCTAGAGTTTGACTCCTCTGAAAGCAAAAGAACGCTGCCCTGTTGACAGGCGACATAAGGGCATGTCCAAGGCACCAGACGATCTAGTTTGTGTATTATGGACTTGGGAACGTAGTTTGAACATATCAGCAAGATAGTCTGGAACAAGTTTGTTAATACATTTGTGCATCATAGTTGCATCGTTTAGAATAAGTTTCTCTCTAATAGGAAGCCATTTCAGTGATCGCAGCCCATCCGAAATATGGTCATACTTTCTTAGTCCCAGAATAATTCGTCCAGCGAAATTTTGGACTTTTTGTCACTTGTCAATATTGCTGTGGCTGGTATTACTCCAAACAGTTGAACAATACTGAAGTTTACTAAAAACAAAGGAATTTATTACTAACAAAAGCGTTTTCCAATCCAGGAGATAAATAAATCTACTAGTCGTTCCAAACATCATCTAAATCCTCTTCACAGACACAGAAAATGCCAAGAAGCGGCCGCCAGTTTATTAACAAGGGCACACTGCTACGGGACTCACTATCTATCACAGAATAGATAGTTATTAGCGTGACCAATCAGAGGACGGCACTTGTGATAGAACGCTAGTAGATTTATACTAAATACTGATACATGTTATATATCTTATCAATTCACTGCCCTTTTCGTACATGCATGAAAGGCATTGCCCAAGAAAAAAACACGTACGCAAATTAGGTCAATAATAAGCCATGGGTGTGTTGAATCCACCCATAGCTTATTATTAACTGGAACTGAAGATCAAAGTTCGCAAATTTTGTACGATGAAGGTGTTATTTGTAACATTATGCTGTAACACATGCAGATAACAGCAGTTCAATAAAGAACTGACTACCCAAGTAAGACAGTATAAGCTAGCGCGTGAGGTTATACTGATTCTGCTCGACAGACAACAACAGTTCAATAAACTGAACTGACTACCCAATAATAAGAAAAAGTTAAGCCGAGTTAGGCTTGTATTTAGCGCAAAGTGAATCAGATAATTCGCCTGATTGCGACACATGACAACAGTTTTCTACAGAACTCTCAGACTCTCTGGTTTAGGTTTGATGCGTACGCAAATATGAAAGTTCTCCGATAACAGCATAAGGTATTTAAGATTTTAGTGCAACTTACCATTGCAGTCTTCTTCTTGTTCCATGGCATCGTGAATCGGAGGATTGGTGGCAATGCCGTGCGGTTTTCGCAACCTCGAATTTCCCGCCAAAAATAACGTAGTCCAACATGAACAATGATCATCGAGACACGAAAACACCAATTGTCTCGTTTTAAGAAAACGTCATTTCTTCCAAGACCCCGCTTTTAGGATTCGCGATCGTCTATACTTGCTATATTGCTGGGAAAATATTGCCAGGCAAACTGCGAGGGTTACCTTAAGGTTTTTAATGGATCAATTTTTACCATCAAGAGGTATTGTGGCTTTTTTGTTTGTTTCTCACAGAAAAGCTTGTGAAACACTTCTTAAATTGGGAGCAGAAGTTGACAGTAAAGATAATAACTCCCGAACAGCTTTGATGTGGTCTGTGAAGAACAACAACCTACAATGCGCTAAGATTCTACTCGATTTCAAAGCTTCTGTCGACCTCCAAGATACAGACGGTGACTCTGCATTACATGTGGCTTGTGGACAGGGCCATGCAGCTATTGTGCGTCTACTTTTGGACCGTGGCGCAAGTTTGACACTTTGCAACAAACGAGGAAATGGTTGTTTGGAAATAGCAGCGAAGGCGGGATCATCTGATGTTGCCATGACAATTGTGACACACAAGAGGTACGTTGCTGTTAGGGGTAATGAAACTGATGCTATCATCATGTTGTATCAGTGGGCCACTAGAGTCGTTGACAGTTATTTTAGATTAATATATTACTTTCCCCAATCATACGTTTACCAATCAGCGAAAAATCTACTGAATTGTTTTAGTATAAATCTATTAGTCGTTCAAAACTTAACTTGTAAATCATCTAAATCCTCTTCCCGGACACTTTGAAGACCCAAAAAGGCGGCTGCAATTTTGTTTACAACTGCACACTGCTGGGCTGCCCACTATCTACAACAGAACAGATAGTAACTAGTGTAGCCAATAAGAGAACAGCATTCGTAAAAGAACGCTGTAGGTGTATACTAAAATTGAATATGTCGTAGTAGGTTATCTCCTCCTTTATAGCCCTTTAATGTAACGTTATAAAAAGCAAATCGTTAGTCCATGCGAAAACAATTTTTTTCATCAGTTGTGATCCTTACGAACTGACTAATACGATTAAATGTTATACAAAAAGTAACCTACTTCTTGCTATTGCTTTAAGGTGGGTGGAACTTGAAAACTACCAGACTAAAACTGGGCAGACCTCCATCTCACTCCTGGTTGAAAATTTCCCCGAAGCGGCCGAGGTCGCCTTAAATCTGTGCGTGACTCATTCTCCACACCTCAGCGCCACCGACCCAAAATACTCAGTCACGTACGACTTTAAGTATTTGGATCCTGGTCCAGAGGTAAAGAAAAGCAGCAAAAGGTTCTCTACAGTTAAAACGATGATCAAGAATGAACGCGAGCGGCTCCTTCTTCATCCTCTAACTCTGAAATTCAACGAAAGGAAATGGAGCACGTTGGGAAAGTTCGGATTTTTCGGCGATTTTGTCACATATTTCATTTTGCTGGTACTTCTCAGCATTTTTGTCGTCGAGCAAAGGGGAGGTGTCAATTTGAGTCCACGAAATCCACCTAATGTGAACACATCTGGAAAATCGTACAACCTAAAGCCCTCTGATGTTTACAAGAAGGATTCTGCCCTAACGAAATCAGTACCATACATTGTCTTGATTTTCGCCTTATTACACATATGCAAAGAGTTTTTCCAGATATACATGCAGCGGTGGAAATATTTCAAGGACACTTCTAATTACCTAGACTGGATCCTATATATCAGTACCACCGCCTTCATGGCACCCTACGTAACTTCGCTTGATGTCCTCGATGAAAGGTTCTCAAGCATGAGTGATCCTCCTAATTTTTGGATTTTTGGTGTTGTGGCGATTTTTGTGTGCTATTCCAACATGATGCTGTTCCTTAGAAGATATCGACTGTTTGGTACTTATATCTCAATGTATACTGAGGTGATTAAGACGATTGTCCAAGTGATGGTGGTGTTCGTTTTCCTCGTCCTAGGATTTGCACTGGTCTTTTACGTCCTCTTTATGGAGGAGGTAAGGGTTATCATAAAAGTAAGCGAGTAAATAGCGGAGGCCGATTGGGTGAGTATAGCTTTCTTGGAAAGCGTCAGTTTTGTGGTAGTCAGCTGCAGATTGTTATCGAATATTCCTGGATCTAGTGCTAGTTGTTTCAACATGGCTTGACTCTGGGCAGCTAGACTTAACCCAACAGCATCAATTTGGACTGACGAACTCGGTTAAGAAACAAAAATAATCGACAAAATTCGTTGAGTAACATCCCTGAGTGACGAGCGATTGACTAGCATCTCATCAGGGAACTTAGCAACAAGCCTTACTGCTCTTCCTAAGCAAAATTGAAAACTCCACCGCCGCTTATAAATGGCGGACTTAGCTGTCAAGTTTTAAATAACTGAATATAGGATTAGGACTGGATTCAACAAAGAAAACTGGGGGTAGCCAGGTATTTCTGATTCTCCGAGATAACTAGCCTTGAATCTTGAACAAAAATGCTAACGTCTGAAAAAGAAGGAAAAGACATATCTCAGATTTTGCCTTTTAAAACACACAGAAAAGCAAACACATTCATCTTTAAACTGCATGGCAAATCGCAACATAAAAACGTTTGGCATGTCTTTTAATAACAGTTTGCCGCAACAGCGATTTTAGTGTCCCTGACAGCTCTCGTCTGGTTTAGCCAAATTAAAGTCTAACTAGTTTTTCCTCACAACCAGAAACTAATCACGTTTTGAATATTGGTAGGGTGGCCACTTCTATTTCATAACACAAAGTGTAGGGGAAACCACACGTTTTTAAAAGTTAAATGAGTTGTTTTGATCTGTTTTGCAAACTTCTACGGTGCTCGTTACATTTTTTCCCTTTCACCTCCCCAGTCAGTGAAACATTTGCGACTCTTGCACTTGCTTGAGCGCGCACTATGCCATCTGCAGGTTCATGTCTACAGTCGGATTTCAGTATAATTTTCTACGTATGACAGCTAGTTTTAAATATTAAAGCAGCCATGGAGAACGTTAAGTAATGGTCCCATTAAGTATTTGTCTCATTGCATGTAATTTTATTGCAGAATGCATTCCGCACCGTACCTCTTTCCACTCTTCGTGTGTTGGTTATGACGGTTGGAGAGCTCGACTTCGCAGACTTTATTGAGCTGTATAAAAACCACAATCCGTATGATCCATTTCCATCAGTGGCATACACATTTCTCTTTTTTTGCTTGGTCTTGCTGAGCGTCGGACTGATGAATCTCTTGGTAAGAAGACATCCAGTTCATGTTATGATCAATTTAAGGGTACCAATGTTTACGGGAGGCACAAACGACTCAAAAAGGTGCACTTTACCAATAAGCCCATTAAAATTCTAACTTGGCACCGAGGCTTAGGACAACAAAATAGACGAATGACGAAAGAAAGTGAATGGGAAAGTCACTTATGCATAGATTGTAATCTGGAGGTCTCGGTTTCAAATTCTCCTCCCTGCTGCTAGATCAATGTGTGTTCAATTGTTGTGAACAACCAGTTGGGATTCTTAACAACCTTTGAGTTCTACTTTACGATATTTGTTACTCGATTTATAGTATCACCAATTAGAACAGCAGTGCTAAATACCTTGGCTCTTAGTTAACGCAAGTTTTCTTTTTCTACAGGTTGGTCTGGCCGTTGGAGATACCGAGAAAATGAAAAAGCTAGCTACAATCAAGAGACTTGCTCTGCAGATTGAGTATCATATTGAAATAGAAGAGTTGTTTCCAGATTTCATTACACAAGCTGTTTACGAAGATGTTTATGACGACATGCCTAATATGCACTCCATGCTTCACAGGTAGTTGTTCCCTATGAATAAGGGCATGCGTAGTGGCTCTCGATGTATATTTGCAGCTTTTGTCTTTTTAAACAGAGACCACATAGGATTTCCTTATTCGTCATCTTGAACAGGTGATAGATGCTAGGAACAAAACCATTGCGAACTGAGAAGTACCCCGTCGGAAGCTTACAAAATAAACTTGTTCATGACGTATGACTTTGATATCATAGAAGTACCGCTTGTTCTTGGATTTTCTTGTTACTTTGGTTTTTATTTATTTGACGTTTTGAGCTTGTGTTGGTATTGTTTCTTTGTATTTGTTTGGTTTTGTTAAGCAGGCCTCTTTATTATTATTTTTTCCAATTGCTGTGATTTTCTTTCCCCGCCAACTGCCAAAAGAGCACGGTTGTGAAACCCGACAAAGTTCTTCGTTGTATGGTTTTGTTCACTTTTTGGCCTTGATCGTGCACAAAATATAATCATGATAGTTGTTTACTTTTAACTGAGGAACTAAGCAATAAAAACGTTTTGGTTGTGTAGTTCATGCATAGTGTATGAGCGGAAAACGAAAGGCCGATCTGACGTCAAATGTATGTTGACAGGAGAGGCATTGAAGAGTCGGGAACCATTTCTCATTAGAGAGGGCATTGAATATTCGCGGAGAGGAATTTATTATTCGAAACCATATCAGATTGTAAAAAGTGAAAAATATGAAACATTTTCTTTCTCCAAGCTTTTAATCTGGCGCCAAAACTGTGTCGTCCGCGTGCGGCAGCTTGCTCGTTGCCTGTCTACTGAAGCTAGCCCGTCAAGCTATTGGTGCCCCTCCGAGGGGCACCAACATGGCGTTTGCATGAAACATTTCTCCGAAAAAGTCGCGTGGTCGTTAAATTATCTATTAGACTAAGAAAACTAATCCCTTGTGTATTATATCTTAGCAATATTCGCTCATAGAAAACTCGTTCTGGCATTCTGTAACAGCTAAACGTTCCTGATGGTGCCGACAAATTGTAATTTATAGCCAGTATATCTATTTTTGTTTTTCTTTGCAGAGTAATCGAATGGCTACAAGCACGATATGCTGAAGCCACTCCAGAGCCATTGGCTGAGGACAACAAACCATCTGAACTCACTGAGCTACGAGAGGGGATGATGAAGAACAAAAAGAGGATCAAGTCAGTTGTGATTATGCTGGAGGCGCAGAACAAGTTACTCAGAAGCCTGGCGCTATCGATTAACCCTAATTTTCAGCTGCCAGAAGGTATCGAGAGAGCCAGCTGGTCTGCAGATGAAACAGATGATATGGATGGAAGAAATAAATCGTCCCTTGCAACAATAGAGGAGCAGAGCGAAGTGCCATCAGATAGCACGAAAGTGACTTTGGCTAAAGAAGAGAATGTCTCTCTTTGAAGATGGCTTGTAGGGATCAGCTGTTACGTAGCAACAGTCACGCGGAAGACGGAGTGTATCGCTGCAGTTTATGCCATTGTTTAATCACAGTAATCTATAACACGATCTTTTGTTTTCGTTGTGACATAACTTAAATACAGTTGAATCTCTCGTCAGGCGACAACCTTGGGGCTAGAAATAGTGTTCATGGAATGTTAAAAGTAAATTAGTGTTGGTATGTAATGTTAGTATGTGTGGGGAGAAAAAAAAACTTGATACATCAAAATTTTTGCGAGGTATCAATTAACAGCTACTTAAAGTTTCATTATCGCGGAGTCAATCTCCTTTTCAAATTTGCAAAACAAACATCACGATTATGGCTATACCTTGACGGGTGTTACGGTTTATCAGTATACTGTTAGAGAATAAAAATGCAAGTCAGAATGTATTCTATATATTTATCTATTTGTTATTAAATTGTTAAGAGAAAATTTGTTTTTGGTGCAGGATAACATAATCGTGAGATATTTCAGGTATTAAACAAAAGGTTACTTGATTTTCTATTTCGGTACTGATCAAATTACATCTTTTCCTTATACTATGTTATTATGTAGTTTTTGACTTACAAGGAAAACTTGAGTTTATTCATATTCCATCGAACACCATCATTTAGGGATTTTCCAGCTGTGTTTACGGTTGCTATGGTTAGTTTCTTTTTGGCGTCAATCGAGATAATGAAATAAAACTGATGTCTAGTTTTTGAAAGCGCTCTCATCAGGATTTTGTTGTCTAATTTTTCAACCAAATTTTGTTCGTTTTGTAGTCGTTTTTGGACATCAAACTACGGTCGTTTAATTAAAATTCATACCTCGTTCACAATTCCCACAAAAGTAGAAAGACATGGTAGATACCACAAGTAGCACTATGGTGTCTCTTTGAATATGTTTAAACTCGAGATCACGTACAGATATTGATATGAACTAGGCGGGTTCAGAATTTGAGAAAGGCCAACCCCCGAACTTGGATTGTGCAATCATTTTGTTAGTAACACTTATATCACAAGAAATTTGTGACAACAACCTTTACTTTTAAACTTAGTATATTATCCTCAAGTTTTGGTCAATAAAAACCAAGATTGTAACTTTTATATTACTCACGTTACCTTATTTTGGTCAACCACTTAGGAATAGTCGGTTAAAATTAAGGTAGAAAATGTTGTAGTCAACCTCGATAACGTCGAACGAAAATGTGCTAAGTAGCTTTGTGCAGTCTCAATAGGGCCTTATGCGAACTGCGCATGACATTACGTTAGCCTAATTGACAGTTTGACAGTGATTTGATGGATCATGTGGTTGTCCCCTTAAAAGGAACGTGACGAGTAAACTCCTAGTTGTTGTATTTGTTGCTGAAGTAGTAATTATAGCAATCAAGGAAGATTGTAGAAGAACGTTGTGACAACTGTACTAAAGAAATCATTGGAAATTAAAAGTGAAGTAACCAAACAAGAGAGTGTTAGAGTGATCTGCTAGTTTCCCTAAAGGTCGCTTTAACACCACACTTTTTTGTCAATACGGCAGCCATTTTGAATTTGATTCAAATAACTATTATCAGATACTTAGGAGGCAAATACCTACTTATTAGCCCCCTGAGAATCCCATAATAGCTATTTTTAACAACTGAATTCACAATGGCACTGTATTGGCAATAAGCTCCAATGAGCACGTTGACCCTAGAGTCAATTTGTAATGAGTATATGGTGTGATTTCTTATGTCTGCCACAGTGTGCCTTTTACTTGTCTTCAACTGATTTTTTGGAAAGCTTGCTGTACAACTAAATTAAGCCGGATTATGTTTGGGTCTACATATATTCTCATGCAGGCTTTTCACAGCTTCCCCTTACCCTTTTTAAATTATCACTTTCCTTGTGCCACCCCCTATCACTTTACTTTTGCCACTCCGATAGTGTTTCCATTAACTGCCTCTGTGCTCCCTTCCACTAAAAACATGACCAACATGAACATTCCTCGTCAGGTCAGACTTTATTGTCTTTGAATGTCTACTCACTGTTAAAAAATATACTTTCTTGCTATAGGTGATCTGAGTGATACTGAATGTTACTTCAGTGGGAGTGTAGCTGAAGAAGAGGAAATCCGACTGTTCAACACTAAAAGATATTAAAATGGACAGGATGGGTCTTAGAATAGCGAGTTTTGCTTGATTTCATTCTTTTTGCAACTGACATGTACAAACATCTTGTTATCCGAACCTTATTTTGACAACCAGACGCTTTTCTCCTAGACAAAAGGCTAAGGCCTACCAACTACTTTAAGCAATTAGATTATGAGCCAGAGATTTCTATCGCGTGCTGTGCCCTCATCAAACATAGAAATCAAGAGCAAATAATCTAATTGTTTTAGTATAAATCTACTAGTCTAAGGCCCGGTTCATAC